TTTTTTCCTCCATAGCTTACCTGTCTAATATCAATCTGTCAGGAGATAGTGACAGAGTGAACAAATATGTAAAAAATACATTTTTAGAAAAGTTACATACTGCACCTTTAAGTTTCCTGAATTATTCTTCATTTCTGCTGCTATAGACTTAGACTGCTGGAGCACAAACTGAGCACATTTCCTCACTCTGCTGTTGTCTTTAGTCTCTCTTCTCTACATGGTTGTTTTAATTACTTCTATCAATAATGTATTTTCTTTGTCTCACTTCCAGAGGAACATACACCTGAACCAGTCCTGGACCAGTTCTTCTGTGTTTGTCTCTTTCCTGTCTTCCAGACCAGCTGGTCGAGCCAGATGGCCGCCTGTCCTGAGCCTGGTTCTGCTGGAGGTTTCTTCCTGTTAAAGGGAGTTTTACCTCTCCACTGTCACCAATATGATGCTCATGATGGGAAACTGTGACAAAGCGAAGATTCAGCACAATCTGCTGGCTTCTTCAGATTTATTGTTTTGTGTAAAGTGCCCTGAGACAACGTTTGCTGTGATTTGGTGCTATATAAATAAAAAGAATTGAATGTAATTGAATTAATAAGTTAGTCTGAATATATTTTATTCACATAAAGTAGATGTTCTTTATGATAATTTTGTTTTCTGAGTAATTTTCCAAAGACCATAAGATGACCCGTGTGCATCACATTAAGGATGAACATTAGCAGTAACTCTGAGTACTCACGTGACAACACATGCTGCTGCTTGGCATCATAATAGAACACAGTGTTTTAAAAAAGAAACATTTTTTAACATTAATACTTTGCAAAACAGAAGTTTTAACTGTTGTCTAGCACCAGCAGAGAAATGGCTTGAATGATCAGATAATTTTATAAAAGCTTTGTAAAATAATTTAATGTTTTCAAAGTTAACCAGATCTATCTGACTCAAAGACTCAGAGAACTGCTGACTGTTGTGTTTGCAGGGAGTCCCTTTGAAATCTGAATTAGTTTTATGATTAAAATTTCCATACAGCTGACCTTCCTGAATAACAGAAACTTGTTTCTGTCCTGCTTTTTGACTAACAAAATACAAAACCCTTCAAGATTTTTTTCCAACGAGCTAAAACCTTAGCATGAACAGTGACAGAAAACATGCATTCCTTCAAACACTAGTCCTTTCTAATTAGTCCAGTTTTTTTGTATTTAGTGTAGTTCTAGCAAAGGTATGAGCTTTAGATGACAAACACAACCATTTAAAACACTGATATAATTCTACATTTCAAAGGCCATATATCATCATTATGGGTGTTTTGAAAGCACCCATAATGTATGCAACATGTCACACAAGTCAGATTTAGTCAAAACTAAGCACATTTTCAGATTCCTGCCTTTTTTTTAGCTCCATTTTGATACTTAAATCATCCTGATATCATGAGCTTTTCAACAGATATGGCTTGATTTGTCTTTATAATCAGGAAAACATCTGAGGAATCATTCAGAATCCCAATTTTTGAGCATCCAAATTAAATCATCTTGGTGAGTATTTGAAAGAGGAAACCTCAAACCATATGATGATATAGGGATTTCCCAGCTGGTAATAAAAGCAGTTTGCAGGCAAAGCAGTGAAATTGTAGTGCTTATCTGCCCAAAAATCTTTGTTAGTTGTTGACACTGTTCATAAAAACTGATTCAAAACTTTCTTTAGGATTATATGTTTGACATTTTCTTAAAAGGGACCCACAGATAAAAGTATTTATTTGTGATATTTAGACAACATTCAATCCTTATTCATTTTTCAACCAGTGCAGTAAAACCACCTGTTCTCTCGCAAAGCTACTCATGACTTAATCCTTGGTTTGATGTCACGGGTCACACAGTATGTCCAAATTTATTCAGGCTTTTATTTTAGGTTAAGTTCTGTGTTGCAGTCCTTACTGGCCTCCCAGACACAACCCAGAAAAAATACCACCTTTGTTTATTTTACACTTATACTTACCTTACGGTTAAAAATATAGAACTGTATTTGAGTAGAGTAATTGTTGTCTTTAGGTTTTTACATGATTCGGATCCAAAATGTAGTTATGTTGTTTCAAACAAGGCTGATCCACTCGTGTCTAGACTCCCAATTTATTAACCAGTGTTTACCTTTTCAAAGAGTTTCAAATTGATTTAATAAACAGTTTGAACTGATTTTGTGCAATATGTGCATGTGTTATAGTCATGTTTTATTTATGTAAGACTGAATATTTGTGCAAAAACAGAGAAAAATGAAACAAAATTCAATTGTCGTGCGTTTGAAGCTGTCCTACCTTTCCTCCTCCTGGCAGTCCTGCAGCTGCTGCACAATCTGCCTCATCTGTTCCTTGCGGACGTAGTCCCGGACCCGGTACATTGCAGCGTCACGGCAAAGCTCTCGGAGGTCACTGCCGGAGTAAGTCTCTGTTCTCTCAGCAATCTCCTTCAGGTTAACAGCATTACTCAGCTGTGAAGAAACGCAGACATCAGTGACAAACTAGTACACAGATTTTGTTGTCACCACGTTTTGGTGGTGTTGGCAGCCAATAAAGAGCCAACAGCTGATGAGTGACGACAGAACGAGTCAGCAGGGCAGAAAACTGAGCAGTGTTGTCTACAGCTGACAAGGGGGAGACAAAGTCACAGCTTACATTTTCTCCTGCTAAAATCAACCTCAGGATGTCTTCTCTTTGCCTCGTGTTCTGGAAAGACAGCAGCACAAACATGACTATTAGATTTCTAAAATCTGATTATTTAACAAAATAATACAGAGCAGTCAATTAAGTGGCAAGAAATTGCCAGTAGGTTTTGATTAAAGATCATAAAACTGCCTTTATGTCACACTGTTGAGGTAAAGTCTTTTCACAAATCTGTAAAAAGAGCTTTTTTCAACAACAAAGGATTTGCAAATCAACATATTGCTTTTATTTTTGTTTTACACAACATCCCAACTTCATTGGAATTGGGGTTGTATCAAGTAATGTTTGTAATCTCTTAGGAAGAATGTATTCAGTGTGTACACAGCTTACTGGCAGGCCAACATGAAATGTGGCCGGCATCCTGCGCAGGATTGCTGGATCCATGTCCTGCGGCCTGTTGGTAGCGCCCATCACCATCACCTAAAATAAAATAATATCACCACATGATCAATAACCCATGGGTTTGTTCTGGTAGGTACTTCACTCTCTGGGAAACAGCTGTGTGTATGCTACCTGGGTGGTTGCAGAGGTGTCCAGTCCATCCCACAGACTCATGAACTGGGCCTTCATCATGGCCGTGGCTTCGTGGTCCAGGCTTGATCGATTTCTCAAAAATGACTCTGAGACATTAAAAAAAAAAAAAAACCAAGACACTCAAAGCCGACATCTTCCAACTCTGAAAAGTCCGGTCCCACACAGAAATGCCTGAGCAGCTGTCTGTAACAAGGTAACTAAAATCCTCACTTATAATCTGTAATTTTAAACCAATACTTGGGATTTGATGGTGCTTTGAAAACTATTATTCAGTTTCATTACATTGTAGGGGTCACCTCGAGTCAAATTATCAAGGAACTATCTTGGACTCTCAGTCCTCTGATGGGCCTTCTAATGGACAAAAACTCTGTTCCACTTAGAACTGTATTTAGGCCACCCAAGGCCACTTTCCTTCTAAACCAGATAAAAACAGAAGAATCTTCTCTTATTTGATTTATTGTTCTCTTAACTGAAAGTATTACGC